GCGAGTTGCTTGTGAAGTGTCGAGTTGTCTAAGTTGCCAGGCTACATGATGGTGAGCTGCCTGTGGCGAGTTGCCTATAAGTGGCGAGCTGCTTGTGGCGAGCTGTCTAGTTGTCACGAGGTGCCAGGTGTCATAATGTCACTCTAGGGCCAAATCTGCCCTCATCATTTGCCCCCCACTCTCGAGTTGAAAGTAACTTGGCGAAGGGAGTAGATTTCTCCTTTTGGCCCATAATTCGACGAGCTCGTAAGTGCTGATTCAGTTTCTTGGGCTCTAGGAGCTGCTTGGATGCGAGCTGCCCGTAAGGTGCCGAGGTCTCTACCAGTTCGGTACTCCCTTAGGCTCTGGGGGCAACTTTTGTTGATTTTGTCCATGCCGAAGAGGCGATTGTGTCTTAAGTGCCCATGCCAAGGAGGCGACTGGGACTAGCTTGCCCTTACCGAAGAGGCGACTGGGTCTTAAGTGTCCATGCCAAGGAGGCGACTGGGACTTGCTCGCTCATGCCGAAGAGGCGACTGGGTCTTAAGTGTCCATNGTCTTAAGTGTCCATGCCAAGGAGGCGACTGGGACTTGCTCGCTCATGCCGAAGAGGCGACTGGGTCTTAAGTGTCCATGCCAAGGAGGCGACTGAGACTTGCTCGCCCATGCCGAAGAGGCGACTGGGTCTTAAGTGCCCATGCCAAGGAGGCGACTGGGACTAGCTCGCCCATGTCGAAGAGGCGATTGGGTCTTAAGTGCCCATGCCGAAGAGGCGACTGGATCTTAAGTGCCCATGCCGAGGAGGCGATTGGGTCTTAAGTGATGAGGAAGTCTTTTATTAGTTCGTCAGTTCGCGCCTGGGCCAGGTCGCGCCAGGTCGGCGCATGTGCCAAGCTGCCAGGCCACGTCAAGTCGCGCCAGGCTGCCGGGTGGGTGCCTTAGAGCTATGATTGCGTTGCATCAGCCTTGTAATGCCGGTCACCCACTCCTACAGGAAGCTACTAGGAGCTCGACCTTTGGGGGCAGCACTATTAACTTTAGGTCGCCAGCTCACATGGGAGCCTTGGAAGGCTCGACCAGCAAGGGCACCCATGTAGTCCATTGGCCGCCAACTCCCGCGGAAGCCACGAAGAGCTCATCCTTGTAGAGGGGACCTCACGAAGAGGACTGATGAGGTTTTATTTGAATTGAAAGTAAAGTTGGTAGAGCTGCTTAGTCTGTTAGCTCCCTACATAGTCTTTTTGTTCATAGAAAATGGAAACTATAAAGCGAGAGTTTCGGTTTCTAAAAAGTGAGGACTTAGCTTTTTGTAGGATGAGAAGTTATCTTTTTGTAGCGTTTTCCACAGACGACGCCAAATGATGTAGCATTTCCCACAGACGGCGCCAAATGATGTAACGCTTTTTGGTCACGTATCATTTTTTTGGCTAAGTACCTCGTCATCTCGTCTGCTCCCAAGTGGCCGGTGACTCAGAGGTTGAAGTAGAGCTCTCTAGTGTAGCGCAACCCGGCTGCTCCCTATAGGAGATGATCTGCTCATCTTTGTAGACGCCGGGAACTGAGGAACCCATCCTCCCTACAGGAGATGATCTGCTCATCTTTGTAGACGACGGGAACTGAGGAACCTGCAAGAATTGAATCAGAGAACCCAGGGGGGTTTACCCGGTGAGGTCACTTCAATGGCTAAGTTAGCGCTTAGTTGTGAGCTGAAAATGATATTAGAGAATGGGAGAGCTGGAGGGCAGAGATTACCATCTCATCTCCTCTCGCCCCTGGGGGGTGAGGCCTTTATATACTGGAGTCCTCGTGGGTTTGGTGGAGCAGTTCCTGGATTCTCGCTGTGATGGGATCGGTTTCTGTGTTAGGTGGGGATAATGCCACCAACCGGTAAGGTTGCCCATCTCCTTGGGGTTGTCATGCGGTGGTCGGTCTGACTAGGAGGCGAGCTGCCCGTAAGATGCCAGGTTGCATGGTGGCAAGCTGCTTGGAAGCGAGCTGCCCGTAAGGTGCCAGGCTGTATGGTGGCGAGCTGCCTGTGAGGTGCCAGGCTACATGATGGTGAGCTGCCTAGTGGTGAGCTGCTTGTGAAGTGCCAAGTTTTCTAAGTTGCCAGGCTACATGATGGTGAGCTGCCTGTGGCGAGTTGCCTGTGGCGACCTGCCTGTGGCGAGCTGTCTGTGGTGAGCTGTCTATGGCGAGCTGCCTGTAAGTGGCGAGCTGTCTGTGGCAAGCTACCTGTAAGTGGCGAGCTGCTTGTGGCGAGCTGTCTAGTTGTCACGAGGTGCCAGGTGTCATAATGTCACTGGAGGGCCAAATCCGCCCTCATCACTTACCAACCAGTAGATTGGCACTTTGCCATGTGATAGATTTATATGGACCATAGTGGGATCACATTGTCATGGATGGGTTAGCTAGAATGGGGCTAATAGGACAGAAATGTGTAGTGAGCCTTCACAGTTTAAGCGAGTCAATTGAGAGTGTGTGTACATGCACACACTCTCACTCTCTCTCTCTCTCTCTCAATTGATTCACTTCATTTTGTTTTGATGTGCATCCCATACTCTCTTTTTGTAACAATTTTTTTCCTTCTTACTAATCCTATCTTTATTGTCACTTCCCCCAACTAATGTAGGGTCTAGTAGATAGAAAGCAAGGTTGATGGATACCCTTCAAAAATCCAACAAAGTATGTACTGAATTTAGGGGAATATCCAGAGAGTAGTTGCTGGTTTTCTTCTAGTAGCAGTGAACTACTATAAAATAACAGAGGAAAGGAGAAATTACATGTTTTTCTAACTGACTTCAAGAGGAGGAAAAAAATGAAAAACTGTAGAGAACAAAATTTGCTTCCTTCAATACCATTGTCCATTATCACCTGCACACATAATTCTTATTAATTATAAATATAAATTGCATTCAACAACAAAAAAGAAAACATAAATATGTATGAATAGGCTAAATTTTTACATGTTTGCCTTGCACATGCAATTGAACTGGAGGGCTTGCACATTCTGCAATATACAGCCATACAAATAATGAAAACAGACCCAGAAACAGTACTGCATGAACATGGGAAACAAACCCAGAGACAGTACAGCCATACAGATAGAGTGACTCTTTCAATTTGATACCTGCGACGAGAAATCAGCCCTATTATTTTTGAACACCTTGCCCTATTATTTTTCTTTGAAAAATCATAACTAGATCTCAAATAAGATCTTTGAAGTAAAAATACAGACCTAAATGTCATAAAACAAAACATATGTATCAGCTGTTCTATAGGCTTATGCCTCTGTGTCCTTGAAGTTTGAAGGAACCCAAGTCTGGTGGATGTATTAAGGACTGTATGATCAGATTGTGATTAACAGCTGGCCCCAATTATCTGGGCCACCACAGAAGTAGAGGATTGTTTTCAGTCATCCTTAATCCGATGGCTGAGATGGTCACAAGGTTGTCTGACAGACTCAAACCTTTTACCTTTCAAAAAAAAGGCTCTTTAATAGGGCTCTCTCTTCACCAATTAATTGCTTATGTAATGCTGTTGCTGGTTTATCTATATAGATGCTTATCTATATACATTCCTATATTAGATAGAGTTGCAACCTTGAAAATGTAGAAATTACACTTTGTGTTGTTCTGGTACAAAGTCTGAAATGTATGGTATTGGACTTTGATGCTTATTTTCTGTACTTGAGGATGACATCATGCTAATGGAGGCTATTTGCCTGATAATATGATGGAAAATTACAGGATGAAATATCTTTCTCAAAAAGTTACTCTTAAGCGCCATTTTATTTGCTTTGTCAAAGCAAGAAGATACTTTTTTTTGGGTACAGTGCTTATAGGGAACCCTATTTTTTGTTGTAACTACTCTTTAGGGGAAAGGTCTGCGTAGCATACAACACAATTATTAACACATTTATTTGCTGGGTAGAACATAGGAGATCTATTGTTATAGGGTCCTAAATGTTAAAGTGCTTGGATTGACATGTTCCAATGGTCTTAAGGCCTCACTATGATTCAAACTTGAGGCATGGTGGGCTTTTGGCATGTTGGTCAAGCACATAAGAAATGGTATCAGAGCCTACCAAGTTTGAACCATAGTGAGGGCTACCTGGGAGAAGGGCTCCCTAGAGCAGAGTGAAAGCTTTCACAGAAAGGGCTACCTACTCCTAGAGTGAGAGCTGCCCAGGCAATGCAAAGTTGCAAACTACAAAGCATCTTGTTTACACTAAAGTTTTATGTTATATGTAAATGGGTTTTTGAAAAGAAAATGGGTAGAGCAGAAATAGAATTTAGAAAGAGTAAGCATCATATTTACACTAAAGTTTTCTGTTGAATGTGAACGAGTTTTTGAAAAGAAAATGGGTAGAGCAAAAATAGAATTTATTAGAAAGAGTAAGTGCAGGTGCATTGAACAAGAAAGTGTAGAAGCTAAGAGAGAAATTAAAGAGGTTCTTTTGGGGGGATAGTTGGAACTTGGAAGAAAAGAAAGAGCTATCTAGCTAGCTAAACCAGATTGGTACAATGATTTTTTTTTCTAATACGTAGTTGATTGTAGTTATTCTGAATATAATATGTTTCTGAATTTTATATATTTTCTGGGCTTTTGTGTAAATTTTAAAGTTTCATTTAGTTTGGACCGGATTGGGTCCAATCCGGTCCATTTGCATTTCAGTTGAATCGGATTGGATCTGGTTTGTATGGGGTTTGGACCAAATTTGGTCCAGTCCATTTTTAAATGGACCAATGATGGATTGGATCAGATTGGACCAAATCCAGTCCAATTGACACCCCTACTCTCTAAAGCAGGTGAGAACTGTTAAAGATACAACCATAAACTTGTATGCTGTCCTAGAAAAAACAAATAGTGAAAGCACACAAAGTAGTCCATTTGTAAAAGGATATAATATATCTGTTATGGAAGATCTCTATTTATCTATCTGTCAGCCATCTATCATTAGATCCAAAGATATAATATTATATCTAGTTTTTATTAATAAGATATATTTGATTTTTCAGGAAATTGTTAACATGGAGGGTATTGAAGATGTATACTTTGGATTTTGACGAAGACTTTTAGACATCATAGAGCGAAATGATTTTTTTGTTATATTTTTTGTTGGTTTTTGGACTATCCATTATGGATCTATGATCTAAAAGTTACAGTTGTATATATAAACATTTTATGATAAATTTGTTTTATATGAAAATGGTTTATTGGTTACATTTCATAATTATTTGATTTTTTAATATTTATTGATAAAGGTCCATTTACCATTATAAAATAAGCAGCATCTTTTTTGTTGCTTCATTTTATTAGTTTTTAGCATGTATGTACGAACATGTTTAGACATTTAGTGGCGCTTGTAAATGCCACTAAATCCTAAATGAATAGAATGATCAAGACTTTTTAGTGGCAATTATAAATGCCACTATACCAGTTGCTATTTAGTGGTACTATGAATTGCCACTAAATGTGTCAATAAGTGTCATTATTAAATTTAAAAATGGCATTTGAAACTGCCACTAAAGGATGAATAAAACGCCACTAAAAATAGTTTTTATTGACATTTATATAAGTACCACTAAAATTTGGATAAACGCCACTGAAAATAAGTTTTATTGGCATTTATTTAAGTGCCACTAAAGATTGGATAAACACCACTAAAACTTTTACTGACTCAAATATCAATGGTGTAATTTGAAAATGCCGCAATAACCTTTAGTGACGTTTTTACGGCATTTTCAAATGCCGCTAAAAATCATTTTTCTTGTAGTGGCATAATTAACTGCATGCTCAACGGCTACTACAATGAAATTAACTTGCCACATTATTGTAATTAATTAGGTGACGTGACAAATATGCGAGTCCCATTTAGGGGGCACCTACGAAGCTGAAGTAGTCAATCGTATTAAGCTGTTGAGAGAGTGATATGCCCGGTATCATCTACAAATTTCAAAGTGGGCCAATTTTTGGCCGGCTGCCTAATTACTGAAATTGAACTTTGTTGGGGACCCCAACTCGGCTCCCCTTTCATTGTCAATCCAGGGTTTACTTGATTACAATTAGATTTGAAAGTTGAAACAAGAGTGTGAAATCCTCCGCAATTAATGATTAATTTAAAAATTAAAACGCAATGGATATCTAAAGATTTTTGACATTTGAGTTAGATGTGACAACCCTTTACATGGGTTGACAAACGTATATATACTCGGGGCCAAGCACCATATAGGTACCGTCCTGCCTTCTGACTTCTAAGACTGCTAATTGACCCTGTCTAAATTTACACCGGTTGTTGACTTGTTATACGATGTATTCGCCAACCCAAAGCTAGACTTAATAAATAAGAAAATAAAAGACTAAGGACAACAGATGAATCGTACATGTTTGGTTAGGCCTGGAAAAGTAAGAAATAGCCGCTCCTCCTGTTGCCATGGATAATTGGCTTTCTATTATCTAGCACTGCTGCCATGCATGAATTTATAACAATTTATCGTGATACTCATCACCCTAAACCCATAACATTAATTAATTGATTCAAGATATTGAAGTAAATTAAACATCGAAATTCCGTGAGTTTTGTCTTAAATCCATTTAATTTTTCTTCTCAATTTCCAAAATCCATCCTATCCCAAATCTGTTAAGCCCGTTCCACCCATTAAATTCCAACTAAAATTTAAAAGAAATACTATTTAAAATTAGCATTTTATAATTAAATGAAATAAACAATTTATCAAATCTAAATTTACATCAAATGATGATTTTAATCCCAAGAAATTTATACAAATAAAATATTAATAATAGAATAATTATCTTAGTATTTAAAATTTATAAATTTATACATGATATATAATATAATAGGTTTATATTTATACATCCCGAGTATCGGGTATCAAATACCCTAAAATCAAAATCTAAACCTGCCCCAAACCCTAATCCCAAACCCTATAGGTTTTGATAAACGGTTAGGATAAATTGAATATCCAAAAAATTCCTGCAAAATTACCATCCTAGGTGGGAATTGAGGAGAGAGAGGAATTGCTTACTGCCAAAACATCAGTAAGCACCTTTATTAAATATTAAATGGTACGTCATCGCAAAGAGTCTTTCAACAGTATACAAGTAATATATGGAAAGAGAGGAGCAGGCGCGAGACCAAGTACACAGTCTGTGTAATGACTAATGAACAAGAACGTTTCACTAGCAAGGAACATTCATATTGCCCGTAAGAAGAATTGAAGGAAGGAGATAAAGTGATGATTAAATTCCCGCAATATAATAGGTTCGTCAGTAGCTATTAGGTGAAAAAATTCGCCAAGGAACATTCATATATATAGAGAGAGGCATGGTTTTTAAAAACTAATCGGAAACAGAACCGGTCAGGGGACCGGTTCCTGGTTAAGTGTTTCAACTTATGACGTCATAAAAAAATATGTATAAATAATAAAAAATAGCATAAAATTAAATAGAAAATAGAAAAAATACAGAAAATACAGAAAACAAAACTATCTAAATAAAAAATAATACAGTACAAAATACATAGAAAATATAATAACAAAATAGAGAAAATTCTAAAAAATACAGCAAAAAATAAAAAAATAAAAAATACAAAAAAAAATAAAGCTATCTAAATACAAATAAAAAAAAAGAGTACAGAAAATACTGAAAATACAAAAAAACAGAAAAATAAAACAGAAAACTGCAAAATAAATACATAACAAATACAGAAAATAAAATAGAAAAATAAAATAGAAAATTGCAAGTTCTTCCTTTCAAGGTCATACAAGTTTCTAATCCTCGTCATGCTGCATATTAAGATTTCAATTATAGAGAACCAAACAGATAACAGATTGTCAGCACAAATGCACAAGTAAAATAATAGCTTCTGTTTTATTGAGTTTGCAAAAAACACAAAACCCATATGTTTGCAAAAAATAAAAAAAAATCCAAAAAAAAAAAGAGATTTTAATATTTTATCATTCTTTGACATCATTTGATCATCATCATCATCATCATCATTCACATAGCAAATAAGCAAGGAATTAAAAAAAAAATTAATATAACAAAATTAATTAAGCCAATGTGATAATGTGAATCTCTGTAATTAATTAAGCAAAGAATTCAGAAAAAAAAAATAATTAAGCAAAAAATTCAAAGAATCAATTAAACTCACAAAAAAAATAATACCTTCAGGTCCTTCACGGTTTCACTACTGGTAATGGTGGTGTGATAGTGTGCTCGGGCTTGGTTGCAAGCAAGTTGCTACTGCAAGTGTTGCTACAACTTGCAGAATCGCCGATGGTGGTGTTTGCAAACTTCCCACCCACAACTGCAAACTCGTTGGACAGCCGCTGTAAACTTGCCTTTCGCAAAGCCTGGAAGTGCTACAAATTGCAAAAAACGCTGGTTGCGCTGCAAACTCGTTGTCGTCGGTCGTCGTTAATCGCTATCGGTCGGTGTGTGTCGCCATCGAACGCTGGAGGTGCTGGCTGCCACAGGTGGTCGGTTGGGTGTGAGGGATGGCCGCCGCTGCAAACTTGCTGTCGCTGGTCATCGTTAATCGTCGTCGGTCGGTGTGTGTCGTTGTCGAACACTGGAGGTGCTGGCTGCCATAGGTGGTCAGTTGGGTGTGAGGGATGGCCGTTGCTGCAAACTTGCCTACCGCAAAGCCTAGAAGTGCTGCAAATTACAAAAAATGTTGGCCGTCGCTGTAAATTCACCGTCGCCGGTTGCCATTCATCGCCGTTGGTCGGTGTGTGTCACCATCGAACGCCAAAGGTGCTAGTAGTCGCAAGTGGTTGGTTGGGTGTGAGGGCTGAGAGGAGGGAAGAACGAAGGGTTAGAACGAAAATGGGGTTCTAACCCTACATTCGATTAATCGATTTGGGATGGGAATATAAAGTAATTTTATTTTATTTTTGTTTTATTTTTATTTTATTTAAAATAGTGAAAATAAAAAAGAGAACCCGCAAACCACTGCCCAGGTCGAACGATTTAATGATCCGATCGCTCGGGTCAGCAATTTTTTGACTTTTTGAACATTTTTTAGAAATTTCCAGTTTTTAGTATAACTGGACCCAAGGGCCTGACTGGTTACCGGTTTTTCCGGTCCGGTCCAGTTTTAAAAACCATGGGGAGAGGTGTCCAACAGGTAACGAACTATGTTGCACATCTCCTTAAATGCAAATGGATGTGATACCATGGACTAGCTACCTCTAGACATACATCTCTATCCACCATAAACACTTGCCCCATATACGAAAAGCTCGCCTTTAAAATTTTGAATTACCAGCCTGTGGTCCGATTGAGAATTGCTTGACGCTCCATCGTCATTGAGTTAATTATTGAGATAGGAAGCCGGGCGCCGAGGAGTCCACTTGATGGCTAGCGCTCTTCTTCAGCAAGGCCAGAGGCCCAGAGCCTACTTTCCATGGGAAGCCGCCCCTCCATTAATTACTTAATTTCTTGCAACGAGCCTTCCAAGAATGCGACAAAATAACGGCGCACTTCTCAAAGAAATCTCCTCTCTCGATGGTCCACCATGACGCTAACCACTCAAAGGATCTGTTCCCATAACATGAGAGTCGATAATCACAACCCCGCCATGAAACCAAACCAAACCGGCCGGCCTCATTGTAGGAAATAGGAAATAATCTAGATACTTTACGTGGAGTGTCTTTAAAATGCGACAATATAATATCTCAAGTATTCGAATTTTTATTTTACCATTAATAAACCGTCAGTATATATATCACGTGTCCTTAAGTACGATTTAAGACTTAAAAATATTAAAATTACTCATTTTCTCTTTCAAGAAAATGAAACAGAGTCCAACTTTTTGCTTTCAATTTCTCATTACCGCTGGAACGTGAGCACGATGGAAACGAAACTGACTTGGAATGACTGTAAGCGAAAATATGTATACCGGTGTTGCCGAGGGAGGCAGCAGCGAGCTCGAGGTTGCCGAGATGGCCAGAGAAGATCTGGATGGACGTGGACATAACATAGTTGATCATGTATACGATGACAGCAGGGGCAGCAAGGTAGAAGAGGAGCGGCAGTTCGATCCGGGTGGCAACTCGGTAACGCTTGAACGCTGGCATCTGCGTGTCTGACAGTATCTGTTCAAGTTCGTTGCTCCATTCCTGCTTCGCCGCCGATTGTTGCCGTGAAACAGGTGCAGACGGAGATTTTGAGTGTAAGATGGCTCTTCCCCAGACGTTTCCATTTTTA